AATTTTGATATTTACCAACTAATATGTATAAGCCAAACCGAATTAGCATTATTAAATGCCTTTGCTTTGTTATACCTTCGGTAAGTTATACTAGACAGAAATACTTGGAACATAGAGAAGGAAGAAGAAAAGAATGACTTGGGTCAGAGGCACAATTAGACCACCTTTGCCTTCACTTAATAGTCAGAGCAACTGGGTTGTAAGAATTTTTTTCCTTATCCTTAGCTTTACTTTATCCATCGGCATTTCTTCTTATCTATTTTTGCGCAGTTCTTATTCCTCGCCAGACCAGGCTTTATCGTTACGACTTACAGGAAGGTTCATCTCACATTCCTCAAAAAACTGATTTTACCTTGGGTTTATAGATTAGACATCGGAGGTTTTGGATAGTTCATTAAGTTGTTAGAGAAGCTCAATTCTACAAGCATCACCAAATTGTGAAAGGCAAACTTGCCCTTTAATTAAGGTTATGATCGAGGCATGGAAAGACTTTGTCAAGTAACTAGGGTCAATTAGAGCTCTAGTTCACATCATGAGTCTCTTAATACGAAGTCACAGGAACTGGTCACTAATTTCTATCATTAATACGCATTTTACTTATCAGGGAAGGAATTAGTTAAAGCCAAATAATATGGAACTCTAACTAAGCTATGAGCTAAGCTAAGCTATTTTCAACTATCCTTTATTAAAGGTGAAGAGGTAATGCTTTTATACTTTCACACTATTAATTTGTGCACAATGAATATGTTCAGTAAGTTGACTAAATGCACTAATCGAATAAAATGTGATAAATTCAATAAATTCAATAAGTTCAATAAATTCAATAAATTCGATAAATTCAAAATTTGAACTTTCTCCATACTAACTAATTTTGAAAAGCTATGTCCAAGTTAAAGCACTACCCAGGCAATTGATTTATACCTTGTTTTAAAATAATGCTTATGCGCGTACTCTAAATAATGTGCATATACTCAAAATAACGCGCAGGTAGGCATTATTACGTGAAAATACAGTAATTATTTTTAGTATAAAAGTATATGCACTCAATCAATTTTTTCTAACGATCACTTGTACCAAACTTACGACTAACAAAAATGAAAAACTTGTTAGAGAAAGTAGAAGAGATGACTACAAGTAACAGTTTTTACAGAGGTCAAGGTTTTCATGATTGTTTTTTTCTGAACTTCTCTGTATATTTAGCAAGCAAGTTAAAAGCATTCTTGTACAAAATAACTAGCAGGAGGTGATGCCTTTGTATAAAGAATTTTAATAGAAGCATAGTTTCTGCTGACGAAGTAAAAGATAGTTGGTCTGAAGGGGAACAACAAGCAAGTTTTCAACACACTCCCTATCGAAGTTTGAGGTTATCCACAAACTGAAACCCTTTACCAAAACTCCACTCTTTGTTTTTTACGAAATTTCATCAAAAAGTGGAAAATCTAGCATACCCCATCAAAGGATCGATAACAACAATCACTGCTGAAAAAAGAAAGTTATGTATAGAAGTACATGGCTACTTTTAGATAAAAAATATTTGATTAGTTACTTTAAGAGGTTGTGGTATTTACATCGAGGCTGCCAGAAGATGAAAAATGTTAGCAGTCATCAACTTTGTCCAAAAACAAGCATAAGCACAAGAATGCGTTGCAGGATATCATGTCAAAAATCTGGTGGGACCAAAAAAGAAATTTTAAACTTGGATCTCTACTCAAAAATAGATATTTTATATATCTTAATATAGACATAAATAACTAGTGTAGAGTTTAGACTAGTTTATTTAGTAGTACTATATAATTTTTATAATCTATCACAGGTTTAATAGTGCTATCTTTGTTTTCTTTTCTTTTCTTTTATTTTTTCTTTTATATGTATTTTGGTTTTTTTGTTTATTTAGATAGATCGAATTTGAATATCAAGGTATCATCCTTTTTTCTTCTTTTCCTTTTGAATTTGTATCTGTATTTTGCTTTGTAAAAAGAAAAAATGATACTGATATGGCATGTGGCACCAGCCAATGATCAAAGGATTTATGTCTCTAGAAAATTAGAGGCCCAGAAGGAGGCAAATAGCCACTAGGTAATGTTGTACCTGGGCTTTTAAGTTAAGTAAGTCACTTGTTATGGTTAAAAAAAGAATAACTATAGTTAAGAATTCTTGTAATTTTTGCTTGGTTAATATCTTAATAAAACAGTAGCAGGACATGTCGAAAAAAAAAAAATAAATAAAATAAAAATATATTATATACAGGTATAATATTAATTACAGGTAGTTATAGGGTATGGCGACTTAGTGAAATAGTTAAGTTGTCACACTCCAAGCAGTATGTTAATAGGTAGAGGGTTTGAAACCCACTAGTGACGAATTTCAAAAAATCTACTTGTATAATACTACTATCTTCTGTCGATTAGTTGGAACAAGATTTTGTAATCTTGGTAGTACTAACAAGATTGAAAAACCATGAAGCATTTGTACAATATATGAGTTACATGAAAAAAGTTCTCAGATCATAGTAAATTCAAGAAACCAGGAAGATTAAATATATACTTGGCAAAACCTGAGTAGAGAAGTAGCACAGATCTTTGATGTTATTATGTAAAGGATTATAGTTAGGAAAGTGGATTGACTGAACAGGACTGAAGTGTTTGGCAAAGCACTCTACCAACCAGGCCGCCGAGAGAGTAACCAGAAGAAAAGGACCTAACCATGGGGACCAAGAGCAGGTTACAGCCCTTCCAGACCATCTAGATTAGTAGTTTAGAAAATTCAGAAAGTACAGTATAGTCTATAAAGTAAGTACTGGGGTCAGGATGAACTCTACAAGAGCAAAAGTAGGTAATAGTAGCAGCTTTGGCTCAAAAGTTGCTATTTACAGACTTGGTATAAGTTACTGAAGTCTAGGCTAACCAGATTGTAGATATGAAAAGCTCTAGTAGATTTACTTTGAGAACAAAAGGCTTACTGGTTGAGCCTGCTTTAAAGTCTTAAGTTAGGATTCTTAAGAGATATATCCTAATTCAGTCATATAAAAGTTTGACTCATATAAAGTACAGAGGATTTAAATAGGTAACCTTCTAGTCAGGTTGCAGGTATGGTATCTAGTGTAGAACTTAGTAATAAGCAGACTATTTAAATAGGCAATCAAAAGTTGTATGTGTGGCTAGTATGTATTTTTCAAATATATATACTATACAGGCGTCAAGAAGGGCTTAGCATACAGTAAAATTAATCAATAACTAAATAAAAAAACTGACCAAGAGGTCACCTTAATACCAAAAAAAAATTACAGGTAGTTATACAGATCTACAAAATAAGTATAGATTTTTATTTATATTATTTCTTATTGTTTACTTTTTTTAGATAATATTGTAACTATGTTTTGCTAATATTATAGTCATATATTAAAGCTATTTTTTTGATATTATTATTTTTTAAAGTCATTATTTCTCTGATATTATCATTTTTCTGATATTATTGTTCTTTAAAATTATTATTTTATTAGTATTATTATATTTTGAAGCTATCATTTTACTAGTATTATCATTCTGTAAAATTATTATTTTGTTGATATTATTATACTTTGAAGTTTTATTTTCTCTGGTATTGTTATTTTTAAAACTATCATTTTACTAGTTTTGTTGTTCTTTGAAGTTGTTTTATTAGTATTATTATATTTTAGA